ACCTAAATCTCGCATGTCAAATTTTTTCACATAGATGAAATGCAATATTACATAGAGATGTGTATGTGGAGTAAATTGATTTTGAATTATTTGATAAGTGCATATCATGCCTATTAGACACAATGACCAAATCTCCTTATATTTGAATGGGAGAAATATCTGCATAAATATTTGCATAATATATAGTGATGTATGTGGACATATGCCAATTAATGTCAGATGAGGTTTCTCTTATGTCATCAATTATCATATATACTAGATGAATTCAAGCATGAAATTCTTGAATGGTTCAAAGGATTCAAGCTAGAAGTAGAGAAACAAATATGTAAAGATACCCACACGTTAAGATCCAATCGAAGTGAGAGTATCTTAAAGATAGATTATCTAAGAGAGAATGAGATTCTCTTGCAGTGGACTCCTCCATAAACACTGCAGCATAATGGTTATCTAAAAGGAGAAATCATTAACTATTAGATATAGTGTGATTAATAACAAACCATGCAAATCTCCCAAAATTATTTTTTGGGGTCATGCACTGATTGCAGTGTGTTACACACTAAATCATTCCACATCTAAGTTAGTTAACACAATTTCATACGAGCTATGGAAAGGCAATAGTCTCAATTTATCACATATAAAAGTTTGGGAATGTGACGCTCATTTGAAGCACATTGAATTGGATAAGCTTGAGACTAAATCTGATAAACACATATTCGTGGGATATCCAAAACATATATTTGGATATCAATTTTATTAACCCCTTGAGAAGAAAGTCTTTGTCTCACAATACATCGTCCTCTTAGAGAAAATGCTTATTCTAGGAGAGGACAGTAGAAGCAAAATAGAAATTGAAAGAGTTCAAGATTCCACAGATATAGTTAACCAGGTAGATAAATCCGAGTTTAATCCCATATCTGATGTGGGACATACTTTTGATAAGAAAATAGAAACTCCTGAGGATATGACAACTCCATATAAATCTAGTACGAATCCACGATTACTAATCATGTATTTTTAATCAAGGATGGTGAACATACTACTTACACAGAAGTAGAGTCAAGTGTTGACTCAAATAGATGGCATGAGGCCATGGAATTCGAAATGAACTCAATGTATGAAAACAAGGTTTGGACCTTGGTTGACCCTCCTGATGGAATAAAACCCATATGTTTTTGTAAATAGTTTATAAGGAAAATGTCGATATAGATGGGAATATTCATACATACAAAGCGAGGCTAGTGGCAAAGGTTAAGTGTTTACTCTTAAGCGATATGTTGGAAAAGTTCCAAACGTGAAACAATCATTGGTTCAATAATAGAAACCTAATACATGATTGCTTTATAAATAGCAAAAAGTTGCAATGTGGATCAAGATGTTTATTAATGAACTTGGAGTAGTTCCTAATATTGTTGATCACATGCCATTGTATTGTGATAACAATAGAGTCATCGCGCAATCAAAGGAACTAAGGTCTCATCAATGATCCAAACATGTATTGAAGCGATATAACCTCATTAGAAAGATAATACATAGAAATGACGTGAAGAGAAGAACGAATTCCCATAATTAATTGTAGATCTATTGACAAAGAGTTGTCGCAGTATAAATATGATCGTCATGTAGACTCTTATGATATTGGATACATAAGTGATTGGTTCTAGTTCAAGTAGGAGTTTGTAAGTGTTATGCCCTAGGTCCAATCAACCTTGGACGTAAATACCCTAATATATAATTAATGTAGTTTAATGACAGATCTATTATTTAATTAATATACAATTAAATTAAATAATAGAGTCCGTAGATTCAAATCTTCATAATTTTTTACTCACAAGTTGTGATTGTGAGACAAATAACATATGATTGAATCTTAAATTGTCTGTGGACACATGTAATAATGAGATAATCTTAAATTGTCCGTGGTCACATGTAATAATGAGATACAAATATCGTTATTACGGATAGACCATCACGTGTGACATTTCTTACTTGTGAAGTAAGTAGCCGATCTCACGAGCTAAAGTGTAGTGACACTTAAATGAACATGTGGATGTTTTGTTGTAGAACAAAACATTGGAGACTAGCCTAGAGATTTCACATGGATAACTGTCTAAGTGTCAGTGGTTAATCTCTAACGTTCGGTAGTAAGATTAGTCCTTTGACTTAAGGTCGTCATAGTACCTTCTATGAGAACAGTTATGCTTTGATGGTATTGGATGTTGCTCTGTCAAGGGCCGCTAATACGGCATCGTTCGGGTATGTCAAGAATCATATGAAGGTTTTGAATGACCAATAAATGATTCGTCACTCTTAGATAGTAAGAGATTATGATCCGCTTTTTATTCAATTAAGTCGATAGCGAAATTCTTGGACAATGTGTACTTAGAAGTCGAAAAGGAGTTTTCGATTTATATTAACTTAATAGTAGAGTAAAAGATATGATCGATAATGGATATTCACACACTTCCATATTTCTTAATTGATCAGATCATATTGACAAAGGAATTATAGTTTCACGGTAAACGAACGGTTTAGTTTTGTCATACCACGTGACAACGGTAAACATGGAGCAAAATATGCAAAACAAACTAAAGGTTGTTGAGCAACAATTCAATTCTACATTACAGTCTTGACTTCATTCTATGCACCAACTATGTGGTAAAGATCTTGGCTTCATTGTACCACCATTTATACCATTGTCAATAGAGAATAATAGTAATGAGAAAGATGATGCTATTGAGGATGAAGAGAATAACTTGGTGAGAATCAGTGCATGTCTAATTCACGAGAATGAAGAGTCGTATTTTTTATTTGCATAACAATAGATATATAGCATGTTTGCTTTGCTTATTTTAACTTTAGATGTAATCATACTTGGTGAATGTTATTTATTCATGTTTTGATGAAATATTTTGGATTCAATATTGATTGACATTACGTTTTAGTTGATTTATTATGATTTTTGAATCTTTATATTATTTTGAATGAGGTTAAAAAAATTAGTATAATATAAATAAAAATTAAAAAATATAGAAATAGTTTAATTTCTCCTGACAAATTCTTTTTTAATAGCCTACAAATATCCTTTTCCCACTAAAAATTATTTGCAGAAAAACAGGGTTCAACCCACAAAATAATTTGTTATACGTTATCACAAACTTTTAATTGTAGGGAAAGATAAACATATATTGGCCCACAAATAAAATTTTCACACAAAATATTATTTGTGGGGACACATGATTTAGCCCACAAGATAATTTGTAGGGACAATCGAAATCACTTCGTGTGTAGAAGTAACTTTAGTAGATGAATTACTTTGCCGGAGGAAAACTTATGCGGTGAATTGTATTCGTCTCCAAGGGGTTCGTAGGGAAAAATCTTAGCCCACACATTTTAAAAATTTGTCGTCTTGCACCTATCCCCTCGATGTTAGCCCCACAAACGTGCCTACAAACCTTTTTCATCTGCAAAGGTATTTTCCCACAATTAAGAGCCTTTACCCACAAATAAAATTTGTAGGGAAAACATAAAATTCTTGTATTGCCCCTTGTTTGTGTAGAAAGTAGGGTTTCTATGGACTTCAAAACGGGCCAAAAACGCGCCCTAGACAACCCTGTGTAGTGCCTAAGCACCGCAAACAATTCACATGTAGTGCCTAAGTGCTGATGGCAATGCCTAGGCGCTGCCTTTCTAGTTCAATACTTCGTTTTTCACATCTCATAGCGCTTGGGCGCTATGAATGCAGCGCCTAGGCGCTACCTTTTGGCTCCAAATTCTTTATTTTTTGCTTATTCGTCCACTTTAGTTCCTTTTTTTGCACCGCCTTTCCTAATCTTCAAAACAACATTAACAAACACATCAGAAACATTCTATACTAGTAAGATTTAGTAAATAATCAAGTTAAAATTGTGTAAAACTTGTGAGTAAAACAAACTCATCAAAAGGATTTAATTAAATTTGTTAATTAAATACTGGACTTGCTAGGAGACGGGCCAAGCCCATTTGGACTTATATAAATAAGCAGCTAAGGTTTAGAAATTGCAGAGATTTTTCAATCTTGCTAGCACAAGAAAATAAAACTATGATTCTCTCTCAATCTCGCTCTCTGTGGGGAATTATTGAAGGCTGGACAATTGGACAGCTGTGTGTGACAGATCAAGGTTGTTGAAATAATAGAAATGCAAAGGAGTTTGCACAATTCAACGAAGATATAATTTCTCTTACAATTTCTATCTAAACACAAAACAGATCCTTGGGGGGAATTGAAATTTGTTTTTTTCCCCTTCCATTGTCTATATCACTACATCATATCAACTCATCTATAGCCTGCGAAAAATGCTATTGATTATATTCTATAGCATTTTTCGATAATCAATAGCATTTTTCGAAATGCTATTGTATGCGGTGTTATTCAAAGTCGTACCTCTATTATAACATTTTTTTAATGCTATTATAAAGTCCTATAAAAAATTTTTAAATAGCATTCTTTTATTGTCATGGTTTTAACAATTATAGCATTCTTTTGGTGCAATATTTTTTATATGATAGCATTTTTTTTGTTAAAATTTTGGCTTTAATAACATTCTTTAATCGTTATGATACATCTTCAATAGCATTCGTTTTTCATATTATTTTTTTCTTTTTTTAAATATTTATAGCTTTTATTGTAATGTATACATACTCAATAGCATTATTTTTTGGAATAAAAATATAAACAATGATCAAGGCAATAGTAAATTCCAAAACATGCATCAATATTGTCTTGTAGAAATACACAAGTGTAGTTGTTCAATAGAAAAATATAATTATGTTATATACTAATAGCAATACATATTTTAAAAGGAAATAAAAAATTAAATTAGAATTATCTCATTCTAGATCTTCAAAAGAAAGTTTCTTGAATTCTTGCAACTTGTCCGGAGTAGACATCCATCAAACCAATGATGGATTTAAATCTGAAAATTAATAAAGTGAAACACTCGTTAAATTGTAAAAATAATGTAAACTGAAAAAAAGTCGAAACTCTAATTAGTGACGGAAATTGATATGGACAAAATCAATGCTACCATAATGTTGGATTAGAATACAAGTGCCTGTGTCACTCCCCAGACCAATAAACGCCAAAGTTATCGGACCAAATCACAAAAGCCAAATGGAAAATCAACATACCTGAAAAACAAGACGGGACTAGAGCCAAATTGACAACCCAAGGAGCATGAAACCAACATATTACGATTGTCTGGTTACAACCTGGGAAGAGTGATGGAAGAAACCAAACCATACTTGTCGTTGGAAACTATGCTGACAGGAAGTAAAAGCTCTCGAATATCCTTAAAGATGAAAAACTCAATTATGTGCACTTCAATAGTGCTTAATATTCTATCAAACAAGCTTAATTACCAGTTCAATCATTTTAATTTGTCCATCAAATGTACCAATCACCGTGATCAACCTATCAAACCCTGTAAAACAGCATTTGCATAACTTAGTATGACAAAACAACTCAACCGGGCGACAGAAATACTATTACTAATCTTAGATAACAACTTACGATGTTGCTAGTGGTGGAGCTTCAAACACTTGCCCACATCATCATGTGGAAGGGGAGCAATATAAACCAAGTCCAAAATTCCCCCATTGCAATTGGCAAATGAAATTTTAAATGTTTGAATTGATTGTTGTGAAGATTTTATGCTGTACAATCATCTAAAACCATAACAGTAGAGCTTTTGAGTTAGGTTGTTGCCCTAGAGGTCAATCCACCAACCTGATCAAACTTTGACACTAAGAAAACGTGAACTAAATGCAAGCTAAATTAATTTCGTCAAAATCATTTGCTGGTAATGGTATTGACTAGTTCTTGAAATACTATTATTGCCAAAAGTGCACCAAAACATAATCTGAATTACTATATTAAAGATATGTTTGGCAGGTTGGAATCAACAGGATTAAGTACGAAAAAGAAGTTGAAATTTTGTATGTTGTTCCAGAATGACTAGTTTATTTAAAATGTATGATTTTCATTATTCACAAAGATATAAGGAAATCTAACCTCCACTATATTGGATGATAAAGACGTGAAAGAAAGGCAACTTCTGACTTGAATTGTTGTTCAAGTAAAGTTCTAGATTCCTCATTATGAGTTGGAATTCTCACCATTTTTACAGCAACTACTCTCTGCTTATGAATTCCTCTGTAAATTCTACTATGTGCACCAGAAGCAAATTTATTGCCTATAAATAACTGAGAAAGATCAGCCGTCCATTCCTCTTTATGTTCAGATGCTTCCCAAGTCTCAACATTCTTAAAATCCAATATCATTGACCAAGATTCCAAACTGTCAGATCTCTTCCTCTCCATATTATCTGCATCATTGCTTAACTAAGTTCTTGAAGTAGAAAGAATTGATAAAGATTTGCTCTTTGACTTGCGCAGTCGAAACGGATTGAAACACGAGGTCGCCATTGAATATATAAACAAATCTTGTATAGTGACTATAGTCACGCTAGGTTTTAATAATTACCTGCAAAATCAAACACCCCTATCAATAAGAAACCAGAAGATTTTAAAATACTTCATAATTTCTTTTGTCTCAAAATAAATATTTTTCAAAGTGCAAGAATAATCATGTAAAAAAATAAAATTAATCCCATAAATGACACTATTACAAGATCAAGTCACACTGCAAAAACACACATAATAGAGGGGAAAATATGTTGAGAAAAGCAATAAAGCACAGATGTGTAGAGGGTCCTCTGTTGTGACGATCCAATTTAAAAATCCAAAAAAAAAAGAGAAAAAAATACCTTATTAATGAACTGAAGGAGAAACAATCTCCAGATTCTCCACTGATTCAAATCATCGATGCTGACATTTTTTTCCTAAATTTCACATGGAATTTGCAGAACATATAGAAGAATATAATCGACAGAAATAGATGGAAATCTTGGGGATGAACCTTGATGAAATCGACAGAGAATGGATGGAAATCTTGGGGATGGAATTATGGAAATATTGGGGATGAATCTGCGGTGAAATCAACAGGAAGAGATGAAAAAAATAGGAATGAATCGGCCAGAAGAGAGGTGGAGACGTGATTCAATGAGAGAGAAAATAGGTTAGACAACGTGTAGTGGTGGCTCGGCTCAGCCCTTCATCTCACGAGCTCGGCTTGCGCTCGTGTCGAACTGAGCTTGTGGCTCGTTTTCAACGAGTCAAGCTCATGGCTTGTCCGAGCTCATGGGTCGAGCCGAACTTGGGCTCGTGGGCTGGTCCTTTTTTTTAAGAGTTTTACAAATAAATGAAATAATAGAAAACACTTTTAAAAAAAATAAAAAGTGTTAAAAAATACAAATAATTTAACGAAAATAATTATTTATTTATTTATATCATATTGTAATACTTTTTATAAAGTATAAAATATTTATATAATGAAGACGAATTATTTTTTGAATTACATTTACAAAAAATATATATTTTTGATTTCTTTTTAAAGTAGAAAAAATATAAACTCTCCTCCTTTATCTGGACTTGGGACCGATTACATCAATTTTAAGTAAGCCGAGTCAAAAATTGTACACAAACAATTTGTTATTACGTGTACAATTTTTTAAAGAAAATTAAATTTAACGGTTAAGAAATAAATAAATTTTGATTAATATAATTAAATCAAATATTACTTACCTGACGACATGCAATTTTAGCGTATTTATCTTGTAGTCGAAAATGAGCGCCCTACCAATCCTTCATGCACATTAATGCTTCCAAAATATCTTCTTTCAGTCAGCTTCTGACATCGATCAAAACCTTTTTACCTGCACTAAAAGCAGACTCCGAAGCAATAGTGCTAACTAGAGGTGTCAGTAGATCCTTCGCAATTGCAGAAATAATTGGCCAATGTCTTTCATACTTTTGCTAGAATTCAATTACTTCTTCTGAACATTTTTTTAATTATTCTGTCTGTTGGCATATTATGATTGAAGTAATCAATTAATTCGACAGGCATCGCATTTTGAGTTTCGACTGATGTTTGATGAGATGCAAATGTAGTCGCCATGACACTAGATGAACACATTACAGTTGCATCATATCTAAATGTATTAATGCCTTGAAATAAAGTCATTATTTCGGCATCATCTTCTTCAATTTTAACAAAAGGAGTAGGCGCAGAGGGTATCCGACTAACATTCGCACCCATTCTTTCCGCATATAAATCATGCATTCCAAATAATGTTTGCTTTAAATTCTTATAGGTGATAGGTGTATCAAGTATTAAAGTTTTATTGATTTGATCAATTACGTATTTAGTTCTCAAAATATGATATCGGGGGTCCATTGCGCATACTAAAGGAAATAACATAAGTAGTTCTTCCCAATATTTTTTAAACTTTAATTCCATAGCAATTATAATTTCACTAAAAGCAGGATCATTTTTATATTTATGGAATGTTCTTACAATTATATAAAGGCGTTCAAACACCATACAGCTTGTGGGATAATAAATGCCGAATAAAATCTTTGTGGTCTCATAAAAAGATGTCAAAAATCGTTTAACTTTCAAAACTAAAATCCAATCGGATTTATTTAACATACCATCGTCATCACTTCTAACGTGTCTATTGTTATAAAAATCAGTTATTAAATTTTAGAAACCTTCACATGACTTTAATAGCAAGTAAGTAGAGTTCCATCTATAACCTACGTCGCTAACAAATGTTTTAGCAGTCGTCACCCCTAGTTTGACACAAAAATCTTCAAAGACTTGTTTTCTACTAGGAGAGATCATAATATATACTAATGCATTCCTCATCTTTTGAAGTTCATCCTTTATATGTTTTAAACCATCTTGCACAATTAAATTCAAGATATGACATACACAACAAATATGAAACAAATACCCACCAAAATCAGGTTGAAGTGTCCTACACAATTTATCGACGATTACCTTATTAACACTAGCATTATCAAAAGTAAAAGATCAAATTTTAGTTTCGTAATGATATTCTCTAACAATACTGATAATAGCATTATATATATTATTAGCATTGTGAGGAAACTCAATATTCTAAAAGCAATAATTTTCTTATGCATGCATCAAAGTAGGTCTATATAGTGTGCAGTTGCAGCTATATATGCTCTTTTATTAACCCCTTCCCATAAATCAGAAGTTAAAGATATAACACCTGATATTGTTGCAAATCCATAATTAATTGTTGTTTTGAATTATTGAAATAATTTATTGTATCGGCACGAAGAGTGTTTCGACTTACCCTTGGTTGTAGATATTCTTTCACGAACGAGATGAAGTGTTGGTTGTCTGCAATAGCCAAAGGCAACTCAGTGGCATCAAAAAATTTCACCATTCCGGTTCGAGTATTATCTTTCGAATACACCTATGTGGATTGGGGTGAAGTTGTAGAACCAGCGCCTGGACTGTCAAATTGCAATTGTGTTTAACTATCTAGAAGAAGTCCATGTCTGGCCGCACATGCTTTGTAGTGGCGGTTGAGATGGATGGTATCAATTCCTTTTTACCATACTAATCTTTGTTGACAGTATTTACATACTGCTTTAGATTCTGTAAGGTCATCGACGACTTTTTTCGTTGAAATCAACTTAAAGTGATCCCAATATTTTGATTGTTTTTTTTGGCCTTTCGCTTTCCCCTCGCATCTGGGATGTTTAATTCGGGATCTTCATCCTCATGTTCCGCTTCGAAAACGTTAACATAATCCAAATCAATTGGATTGTGGCTTCCCTGACCGTGAATGTGAACATTTTCAGGTATCGGTAGGTTATTTAGACTGGTAAATTCATTTGAAATTGTAGGCGATTCGCCATGATGTGCCCCACATCTTGTATTGAACAAGCTCTAAACAAATAAGCGTTGATCCATTTGTTTGATTGTTTATGATGAAATCTTAACTGGAAGAATATAAATGTAGTGAAATTTTGAGAATTGAGAATTGGATGAATTGAAATTATAACTAATAAACTGTAAAAATTAAATTGATATTGTATATTTTGCAGTACGAGAGAGTAAAAACTTGATAATTGATATAATAAAAGAGTGTTGAGAGAGTTGGAGACTTGGAGTAGCAATTGTTATGAAAAAAATAAAGGGGGAAGGGGTATTTATAGTAGAAGTGGGGAAAAAAATCAAAATAATTTCAGTGACCACGAGCTTGACATCCCTAACAATGTGGCATCGGCGGTAAAATGTTGAGCATCTTGGGCTTCTTAGTGGGCCTTTAAAGAATGCTAGTGGATTATGTTTAAGTAAAATTTTGTTTTATTTTATAGCATTATAGGTAAGAATGCTATCTTTAAATGTTATAATAGGTACAAAATGATCCCAACCTAAACTCCATACGAATTTGTGTCTTTAAATTCTAAGTGTTGAGAACTTTGTTTGGTAGAGAGGCAGATTGCGAAAGTTTTAAATGAGGCAACAAATGCGCTTTCATGTTTTTGTAATGTATTTTTTTAAAAAAAAATTTGGTTAAAAAATAAAGTCTGGACGGTTCCGTATATTTTGTGTTTGTTTTAGTAAATTCAATCTTCTATATACTTAGTCAAATTTCGAGAGTTTTCATAACTCGATTTTCATAAAATGTGTATTGATTGGTTGGGGACAAGAAACCTCGACACCATAGTAGAGATCACAGATCAGCCCTTTGACAGCTTCCATGGTGGAGTCTGAAATGTATTTCTTTGAACCTTATGATAAAGCATCCCACCAAGTGTAAAAATCTATCAGTTAGTTGATAAATGATCTGCTCTATCCGTGATCCAAGAAGGATCCATAAATCCTTCTAAAACTCTATTTCATAATATATAGTTCATCTCAAGTATTTTAGAACTCTATTAATTGCTTGGAAATACAATTGACTTTGATTACGTGTTTATCTACTTAGTTTCCCAACGGATAATGCTATGTTCGGCTTAGAAGACATCATTGCATACATGAGACATCCAATTTCCCGAGCACATTTCCATTGGGAAACCACTTTTCCTTACTGTAAGACAATCTGAAAATAGAATAAAAAAGGCTAAATACTGACTTGTAATCATAATGATTAAACTTTCTCAATTCTTTTTAATGTAGTGAGATTAATTATCTTATTATCTTTCCTCATGATTTTAATACCTAAAATGACATCTGCAAATCCCATATCATTCATATCAATGGTTCGAATTTTCATCAGTGGTTCCGTCAACTTAGTTTGAATTTTCTTCTTCTTTATTTATTTATTTTTTCATTTATTTTTTACTATTAATTTTTTTTTTTTTTTTTTTTGAAGACCCATTTTCATCCAATAGGTTTTAAACCTGTTGGAAGATCAACTTCCAAGTTATATTTCTCAATACGGATTGCATTTCATTATCTATAGCTTCTTTCCCAAAAGTAGAGTCATCTAACTTCATTGCCTCTCCAAATGTAAGAAAATCCTACTCAATACACTGCAGGATTTTAATTTTTCCCTTTTTTTGAACCATCAATTGATAAATGATGAAATCAGGTTCAAATGATTTATCAATTCTAACCCTTTTACTTCTCCTTAATTTTGGAGAATCGTCATTTGTACTTCTTTTCTTAGCCTCATGACTCACAATAGGCTGAGATATATCCAATTTTGCTACTTAGAAATAGTATTAAATATATTTTAATAAAGTACAGCATTTCTTGATTCTATTATAGTATTAACTTCAACCATATTATTGAGTTCTACACCTAAAAACCTATGACATTTACTATGTTCTGCATAACCCAGGAATATAAGTTCTATTCCTTTTCTCCTAAATTTCTTATCTTAGATTCAGGTAGCCTACAATCCTAAACATGTAGATAAGATAATTAGTGTTTTTCATAGTTCATAAGGGTTATCTTAATTTGTTTTCTTTTATTTGGAACTCTATGACATGCAATCAGTAAGGTTTATTAATTTCGAATTACACCATTTCAGTCAAAGTCCTAATTTCAGTTTCAGCTACACCATTTTATTGACGAGTGTATGCTATGGATATTTCATGAAAAATTCCTATGTTTTCAAAAAATTCAGAAAAATGGTTTTCACTTCCTCTATCACTTCTACACATTCAATTTTAGTGTGACATTAATTCT